CTTAAAATCACCTTTGTTTTAGCGATTCATACGAGGCTCCCCCCTTAATGACGAATTGAACCTACAATCCATTAAAGCTCTATGAAATATCTATGGAACATCTATGATTGCTCCATATAATATCTATGAATATATTTAATGGATGTCGAATGGAGGTATGTAATGCGGAACTGTGGATGTCTAGTAGACATCTATAGGAGATTACATAGACATCTAATAGAGGTTTCGAATCTCCATGATGGACATATAGTGGATATCCATTAGAGCTTTTTGTTCCGTGTGGGGTAGTTTTACGTAACAAACTTGTGGCATATAAAAAAAGAGTAAAAAATTTTTAAGTGCAATAAATCACGAAATATGCTAAACAACACGTATTTCATTCCCAGTAAACATTCGATATTCTATGTATATACATGGAATATCCATAATGTGAAAAAAACGTACTATATATACTATGTACACGGAGAAAATTTTAAATAAAAAATTACTATGTACGGCATTAACCGCGCACCATGAAGCCGCGGATTGAAAATTTTTACTATGTTTCACAAGTGAAAAACATAGTAAAAATTTTTATAATTTCTTCATGGTCCGCGGCTACTACCGTACATAGTAATTTTTGATATAAAATTTTCTCCGTGTACATATATATGTATATACATACGATATTCTGTGTATTTTCTGAATTTCTTATAATTAGAGTGATAACGCACTCGAAAAATTGAGTGACTGGTCGTGTCACTCGAGTTAGAGTGACTTTTCATTCATACGGAGTTAATTCTCTCTCTTTTTGTTCTAGAGTGAATTTTTCACTCTGCAAAGTAGAGTGATTATGTGTACTTTATTTTGTAAAGTAAATATTTTCACTCTGCAGTGTGGAGTGAATATTTCATTCACATGAAGAGTGAATGAAATGCGCGTAAATTTTAAAACAAACGCTTTGCTGATACCTTCATCCTATTCAACAGATCATCGTCTCTGTTTTTTTTATTGATTTAATAATTTATGATAACTGTTGTCAAGAAAGGCGTCTCTTGTAATCGTCTCATTATCTCTTGTTCTCGTCTCATTGTTACATGTATTTGGTGTAAGACATCGTGAATATAGATAAGAATATCTATAAAGAATACACGTAGATAGACATATAAAAATGTCAACGTTTCTTCCAAATGTAAGTGCTTATAAGAATTTATGTTTATTTACTGATTTAATATATTATGTAAAGAATGTATGTAAAGAAGGTGTTTAGATTAAATTGTTTTTCTAGATTAGATTACAGAAAGAGTAAGTCGAGATCTCACAGCATGTGGTTCGCCGTGCTACGTAGCTTCGTCATAAATTAGGTTTGCATATCGATAAGCAAGTAATACAATGAGAAGTAACTTATATAATGACTTGTAGTTTGTTAAATCGGTAAATGCGTATCATGTGCTGCAAAATCTCCGTTATAGTTAAGTCTGTTGAAATAATATTAAATTTTTTTCTTTCGTTAGAAGACGAATCTCAGACAGCACACATGTCCAAAATACATCCAAAGGATATCCAGAGGATGTCCTGTCGTCCCAAAAATGTCTTCAGGATACCTTCTGGACGTCTTTTGGATATGTTGTGCTGTTTGGGATATATTATATAATATATTATACAGTACATTTTTTTCACATTATGAATATTCCATGTATATACATAGGATATCGAATGTTTACTGGGTAGATGTAGTATGGAGTTATGGAGATTATATGGACGTCCATTGGATGTCATGTTCCGTGTGGATATAAAGAACAGTTTGTAGATTTAATAAAACAAAACGATTTTCGACAGATTGTATTTCATCCACAGATGACGCTCGAACATTTATTTTAAAATATACATAAAATTCTTTATTCTTATTTCGAAGATACAAAACGCATATTACTAATTAATATCGCAGGTATTTTATGATGATATTTGAGATAGGCATAGAAGAAGATATAGTCCCTGAAATCGTTGTAGTTTGGGATTGTACTGGTACAAATATCAATCATGTATTTAAGTATACACCATCTATGTTAAAAAAATTTGATTCTTGTATGGTACGTAATATTTTTTTCTATAAAACGATATCTAGCAAAAAAGTAATTTATATTAGAATTAAAATATATTTCAAGACTCGCGTATATTAACAATGATTTGTATTACTTCAATTATTTAGGCAGCATACAGCTTAAGAATAAAAGCGGTTTATTTAATTCATGCTCCAAAATATATAGACATATTTATGAAAACAGCGAAATCAGTGATGAGAGCAAAATTGTTTGACAGAGTAAGTATATATTAAAGATATATAAATATAATTTGTTAAATAACTGCTGTTTGGTCTTTGTTGAAACAATTCCACAATTTTAATTGGCCCTATCATTTCAGATCCACGTTTACACATCAGGAATAGAATCATTATATAAAACAATACCAAAAGCAATTTTACCAGCAGATTATGGCGGTGAAGAACCGTCGATGAACATATTAACAGGTAAAATATCATCATCGTTTTAAATACATGTACTTATCAACAATTTGAACAACTTTAAAATTAAAATGCAAAACAGAAAATAAATAGCACCTAACCATGTGTTTGATAAAAAATAAATGTTATTATAATTATTATATCTCCGCAATGATAGACTATACTCAAAACTGTCTATCTCTTTCTTTAATATAATTTAGAGATTAAAAGGTGATTAAAAAGTTTAAATATTTAAGAAGTAATTTTTGCTGTTATTGTTTCTAGATATGTGGCTTGCAAAACTAGCCCAACAAAGAGACTGTCTTATAAAAGAAGGAAGACGGAAAACCCAGGAATCTCTCCGAATAAATTCTATAATAAATCCTGACGAATTGTTCGGAGTTTCGGGAACATTTAGAAAATTAGAACTTGATTAATTTGCAAATATTTTCTTAATATCTATATTTTAAATAAATATCTTGTAATTAAAACAAATAAAATTTTTTATAAATATATCTCACAAATATTTCTTACAAATTAATATAAACAAATTTTTTAATTGCATTAATCAAATCAGTAAAATATAATTAATAAGAGCAAAGAATTTGTCGCTGCTAGATCGACCTAACATGTTAACAATTAATTGTAAATTATACATGCTTATTTAAAAAAAATGCATTTCCTCATATGTAGAAGTTAAATGGAAAAGATCAGCCGCATTCTGATGTTGATAACAACATTATACACAATTTAATGCATATTAATTCTTGGGTTTCAACACAAATATTTCCTGAAATGTTAAAAATATAGCGACTGCATTTCGACATTTAATTAATTTTTTTACAACAAAACATATCAAAACTTTTGCACTCACTCAATAAAATCTTAAAAATATAAACCAATGACGGATGAGGCCGACGCGTGACGCGCTTAGTGGAAATTCGGCCTAAGTCACTATTTTACTTTTAGCGTTTTCGATTGACCAGATTGATTAATGACGTCATTCCATTGCCCCTTTATCAATAAAAGACTTAAATTCCTAGTAAAATAATGATTAATCAACCTTGGATCGATCAAAATCCGTTTATTCAAAAACGCTATATGAATTCAAGTCTTTTATTGACGGAGACAATGCAATGAATATTGGGTCTGTGTCGAATACGGTTCAATCGAAAACGCTATAATATTCATTGTGACATAAATTTTGTGCCGCATAATATAAGAAACAATGTTACAAAAAATAAGAAAATTTTATGAAAATAAAAAAAAATGGTTTATTTACGTTTTATTCCATTTATATATAATGGAACTTATAAATTTATGCGCGCGCGCGCGCGCGTGTGTGTGTGTGTGTGTGTGCTATACACACATTTATTTACACATATTTATCACTACAAAATTAAATAAATTCGTCTGATGTCGTGCATATATGCGATCTAGATCATTAATCGGCTTCGTATCTCATTTGTTAGGTCTCTTAATTTCTGAAACGACTGTTTCATTATAATTTTACTTTTGTTCGTGACTTTCATTCCTGTACTTTCGATTGTTGTTGCTCCAGTATCCGTACGGATACATTAAAATCATTACTTATTCGTGTCATCATCTAGAAATAAAGATTATAATATAAGTAAAACTAAGATTGCAAATTTATTTTACTACTTTTTTCTATTACCAATGAAACATGTTCCATATTGATGTAGGACATGTTAGCTAGCATCTCCAACTAATTGTTATCTATTAAGTTTATTGTTATAAAATGTAAATTGTTATCTATTAAGTTTATTGTTATAAAATATAAATTGTTATCTATTAAGTTTATTGTTATAAAATATAAATAACTACTTACCTCTTCGAGACATCGCTCCTCACTCTTAAACAGTTCCCTCAACATCATAAATGTTGGACGCAACAAATGTTTGCTTGCAAAACAAACAATCATAGAATTCACTCTGGAGTAATCTCGCGTGACGTCAATAAAAAAATATTCTTTATCTATACGATTTATGATATGACTGTAAGTGATAAAAAATGTATCCATATATAAATATGATAAAAATAAAAATTTAGGCTAGCATTAAAATTATACTGACTAATTCGGTCTCCAGGTTAAGTAGTAACCGTTTGAAAAACGTACTAAATCGCAGCGCACACCAAGTCTTCTCGCCACACTGTGAAATATTATTGCTAGAGGTAGTCCAGTACCATAATTATTTTTTAAAGCCAGTTTAAAATCACAAATTGCAATCAAATATATTAATATTAAGACATAACAAGCATAGGACTATGCTTATAGCATTAAGTTTTCATAATGCAATATAATATATTTTTAACTTACGTAATCTATAAAAATGTTCTGGGATAAAACTTTCCTTACAACAACATTTGTTATTACATATCTTATAATTCTCATAAAAAATTAATTTATTAATTAAAATTTTACATAGACTCTCTAAAATCTGTCTTACTTCTATCCCATTCCAATGATTGTCATCGATATTATTGTATTTCCAAAAGAAAAATTGCTTGGCTAATATTGAGAATATTGAATGTGCAGGATATTCGGTTTTAAGGTCTTCCAATACTTGCTGTGCAATGTTATCCAATGACGTTCTCACATACATGTAAGACACATACTTGAGGTTGATAGCATTGTGCTAATATAGTGGCTGCTTTTTCTAAAATTTGTTGTTGCTTAGAATAATTCACGAATTTGTTCTACTTGATGCTTAAACGTTTATGGTGGTGGTATAAAAAAAGCACCTTTAAATAATATCTTTGTGTCATATCAAATTCCCTATATATGTAACATATTTTATATTTAATATTTAAATTCCAATATACCATAATATTTAAATTCCAGTCGGTATGAGAGGAGGCGACCGCGCGAGCCGAGCTGAGCCGAACGATTTCCCTTGACTGAGAACAGGGCATCGATTCTGTAATTCAAGTGAGATCGCTCACTTCTCACACTTTCATCTCACGTGAATTAGTTCGCGTGATTCTATAACGTCGAAGTGAAAATACGAAATCACTAGATTTGACAGTATACGATAAAGGCTGCGTACGGGGAGCGCGTTATTAGCGCTATTTGCATCTTTTATCTTTGTTTTATGTTTAATAAGCGATAAAGATAGAAGACGCAAATAGCGCTAATAGCGCGCTTCCCGAACGCGGCCAAAATGTTTTGTCAATGGCGGTATCGATATCGTTATGTTATCATTGCGCAGATAGATCGTAAAAAAGGTAATGTACCATCGCTGAGAGATACAGACTCCCGCTACAGAAACTATATCTCTTCTAATAATCATCACTCGTCCTAAAATCCACAGATTTTTTGAAAAATGAACGTAACGGAGAAGCAGAAACAACTTCTTGTTAACCCTTAATCCCGACTCATGGGTCGTTTTCGACCCAAGCGAAATTTCAAAGTGCTGTAATTTTTGAAAACGGGTACGAAACGCGCCATATCCCGTACCTAAAAAAAGTTATGCCCCCCGAGGACCCGCCTACGGAATAGCAGCGCGCCAGTCCCCCAGGTCGTCACAGTGAGCATAACAATCTCACTGCGGACGCAAACGACCCATGAGTCGGGATTACGTTGCCCAAATCAGCAGATAAATTTTTTTAAAACGCAAACTCTTTCAATGCTGTTAGTGTCTTTTATTATTAAATTATCAGAAATATTCACAACTTTTTTCAATGGTAAAGAATTGTTATTAAAAATATCTTCTTTAATCACTAAATGACAGATAGTGTACTCTTTCCTTGTTGGAATATCGATAATAAATTCTATAATGCGAATAAAATCTCCTTCTGTTGTTACAGCATACGAATTATCTGATCGAATCATATTTCTTCTTGATGATGTGTACAAACATCGTTCTTTTACCATTTTACGATATGTTCGACTTTCATCTGATAATTCAAGTTCTTCTTTCCACATTAAACTAGTTTTATAATGTGGTCCAAAGTATCTTGCATGCGATAATTTACATGTTTGTTTTGCGTTTTTTTTGTCCAGATAAGAAATAAAACTACTTACATTTGAAAACGCTTTCAAAGCAATATGTTTCTTTAAAATCAATTCACTTTGACTCATTGATATCGATCTGCAAATTTGATGTACAACGCCCTTAGCACCATGCACTTTTCGAACTATTTGACCATTTCCATTTTCAAAACAATAGCCAGAATGAGCCCAAAGTGGGCCCCAATCTGCTACACTTTGTGCCAAATGCAATAGTTGATGGATGTTGTACGTCATAACAGCTTTGAAATAATAGTGTTCGGTGTAATCAACAAATTTTGTTAATAAAGTATGAGCATGATTGACTTCGTTACGTGTAATACTTTTCTTTAATAAAATATGGAATGCTTCTACTAGAAGTGACCAATGCTTTATCCATATTTCTAAATGTGGAAAACATAGTAAAATCGGTAAACTATAGTAAAGAATCCAATTCTCCCACTCTCTTGCTTTCCAATATTTTCTATCTCGTATGGAACGAGATAAACGAACAATTTGATTGGGAGCTTTTATTGTTAATAACAAGTTGTCAATTTTATTAATATCATTATTGGATAAAGAATATGACAAGTTGTTTGATTCGATCCAATACCCTACAAATTGTTCCGCTATTCCCAAACAAAGACAATGCATACTATCTGGTACAAAACCAGATATAATGTTAAAACCTTGCAAATTAATTAAACATGAAGGATTTTTTACACCATAAACGGGTTTTCGGGATGTAAGACTCAGTCGCATGTGCTCGATTGTTTCATTTTCAGTTCTTTTAGGCGGTACTTCATTCATTAAAGTATATTTTACACTTCCACCTCTCTTGTAAACAACATAATATCCTGGATGTAAGCACCAACTGCATCCGAAATAGCCATTATACTGAACTATACCCTGCATCGGTGCACGGGCAACAGAGTCTACGCAGCAACATAAGGTGAATACTTTAATAATACGTACTTTCATTTTGCAATAGTACATCGTACACCATTATTTTGACAATTTGTTCATGTGAACAACGTACGGTTTTAAAAAAATATTCATATTTGGTTTATCTTTACCAAACCATATGCCGCACACTATAGGTCTAGAAGTTCTTACATCCAAAGGCAATTCATTTATAATCATTTGAATCGGCCAAATAGAAAATCTAGAACTTTCGAAAATTGGGGATCCATCACTGTTCATTGTAGTTGTAGCAAAATTAAGTTTATCATGTATTGACAATGAGTCAACAAATTTTTTGTATAATATTCCATCTGTAATGTCATCGAATTTTCATTATTTCGCACTTTTTCGCGCACTACATAATCATAATATTTTTGATTATCTTGAATTAAATTTGCAATTTCGTTATTTACATTAATAATAGCAAAAAAGTCATTATATGTTGTATCTTTCAATGCAATTACAGTATCGCATGTTTGACATTCAACGCGATGATCTTTGCGATCAAACATTGCTACATATTTTTTGCAATTTGGACAAACTGCATGATATTCTATGACTGTTTCTGGATTGAACATTTGATCAACAAGATAGCGCGTACTAGGTAATAAAGAAAAATTAAAAAAACAATTTAACATTTTAAAAAGATCAGCTAATGCACTTTGTGATAAACAATACGTAAGCCCATACTTCAAAACTGCAAGTAAAATTTCAGCTTTACTTACAACTACTTGAGCATTAATAGTCTCATTATTATCTTCATTTTGCATCATTTCTGTTAATCTACTAAAACCAATATTTTCACTATTGATATCTTCAGAGTTGACTTCTTCGTGAATATCTTCGTTATCGCTATCATCTTCATCGCTACATTGAAATAATTCTTCATGTGCATCGTAATACCATGAATCCTGTGGATATAAATGATGTTCATTATAGAGTTTTAAAAAATGATTTATAAAATACTTGTAATTTTAAAATTTTTGAGAGAGAAAATACAGAATTAGAATAATATCTTATACATATTAATAAATTAACTTTACTTTTCTTAAAGATCAGACGGATATAAAAAAATAAAAAAGAAATTGATGTGTTATTGATGTAAATTACATACATATTGTGAATTATATGAAATTAAAAAATATAATCTTACACGAAAGTTTTCATTCTCAGAATCTGATAAGCCATACAGTTCATTCGTGTCATTTATTGAAATCTGAGATACATCTACCATCTACAAAAAATAATTTTATATTTTTAAAAATGTACTAAATTAATCCTTAACACTTAGAGGTACAAAGTTTTTAATGCATAGTCTTGTATCAATGAATAAAAAACTTATAATTAAAAAAAACCTATAAAATATTATATTTAGAATAATAAGAATTTTGTTTAATGTCTTTTATACACAAAAGTGAAGCTAATTAAATTGAATAAAACTTTTCTGAAAAATCTTTTTTATGCATATCAAGTATTT